CCGTTGGATGCCGGCTCAGTGGTGTATTGGTTAAAAGTTCATGCGTGAAACTGAAGTTCCAGAGTTTGAAGCCTACGTGCAAGATCATGGTTGCACAATTCTGAAGAGTCCCTTAATAGGACGAAACAGCTGTCCAATGTTTCCAGTTTTTCAATAATAGTTAAACATTTATGCATTCGCGATATATATATAACTCAATTTCAGGGATGAAAAAGAATACGTAAAACTCATACATATTCTTATGATAAATAATTAATAATGGTTTACCCTTTTGAAATTGATTTAGAAAGTTACACTAATAAACGTTTTGAACTTAAAATTTATTTGAAATCATTGTAAAAATATGGATATTACCTCGAGGATAAGTTTGTATGGTTTATTAGACACATAGAATTAAAGACTACTGAACAGCGTATACATTAGTTAAGTATTGATGTCGAACAATAACAGTGAATAATATTATCAGGATTTATAATGATAGTAATACAAATATTCTACTGAAGCCCACTTATATATATCTTTTCTTTGTCAATAATTATTGTTCATTGTTTGTATCCGTTTACTGACATAAGAAACTGATTCCATTTGACGTTTTTATCAAACAGAAAAGCTATTTAGTTCAACTTGAGTTTTTTTTTAAAAAAGCTTTATTTATTCATGATCCTACTGACAGCTGAATTTCTTGAGAAATATTGAAATTTAACTGCTGAACTGAAATTAGATCGACCTAATTCAGTTAGTACTGAGAGGTTGATAACATGCTAGTAGAGATGATAGTTAAATATCTTAGGTATATTGTAATCAAAATGGTTTATTGGTAACATTTCTTTGTTTGACAATCAGTGATACAAGTGTGTATAAATTCTATAGGAGCTATATCTAGATTCGTTAGAACCACAGATACACTTTGTTAACAAGATCAAATAATACAAACTTCATATCGATTTGCTACATAGTCTTGGTATTAATTTTAATTTTAATACGACTGAATGAATGCATCCCGTTATGCATTCTTTCACTTTAAATTACCATTAGTATTATTTTACACTATAATTTCGAAAACTATCAAGAGTTTAAGCATTCTTATATGAGGACGAATATCCTAGGTTCATTCCCACGTACAGAACCATGAATACACTCTTCTGAGAATCACCGTACTAAAACAAAACAGTCATCCAGTACTTCCAGATTTTCAATGATAACCTAGATAAGAATAGTTCGTGATTTAAACTGTAAAAAACAACAATTCAACAATCACTGTAAATCCCCTATACTAACTAAATATGAAACATTTAAGAGTTTGCTTCTAACAGATATCACATATATCTAAATACATTCCAGTACCATAAATAAACTCAGTTTTAACATTTTACAAACATATAAAAGCCGGTGATTTGCACATTCTATTTATCAATGATGAATTCTATCTTTCATAAATGTTATATATTATAAAACTCTATTATTTATTGAATTATACTTCAATCAAATAAATGACAACTGGTATCATCATTTGATTTAATATTATATTTCTTTTAAAATATTTATTAGAATCTTTTACAGGTATTAGAAAATACCATTCGAAGTTTAGATCTGATAATAAACACGTTCATGGAAAAGAATACTGAAGTATTTCCAACAATATATATATCTACATATCTTTGCCTAATGTTTTACGTTTGAATATCCTAACACAGTTTCTAAACCGTGTTTTGACCGAAATCTGTTGATTGTACGTATAGTTTAAGATAAACACACACAATATATATATATATATATATATATATATATATATATATATATACCACATGGCATAAACACTAACCTACATCATTTAATTTTTCTATTAACCAAATTGTCAAAACTGTCTCAATAGACATTTTAGAATGAATGAAGAACATTACAAGTCATAGTAAATAAATATGAAATGTGGCGTTTAGAAATTCATCTTAGATCAAAAGAAAAACTGTCAGTCTGTCATAAAATGATATGTGGACTTCAGTTTTAATGTGTATATATGCTAAAATAAATAGTACACATTATGTATATGTATATCATAATCTACAAACAACGTAAAACATATACACATACATACATACGTGTTGTTATTTCATGAGTACATTATATACAGAGTAAAGAAATCAACAGAATTAACGAAAAATATGAGTAGCATAAGACACATTGGAATAAGAGATTAGGAATAAAGTGAGTAAGTGAGTGAGTGAGAGAGAGAGAGAGGCATACAGAGAAACTGAAAGAGATACATTTTTTTAATCTGATAAAAATTAATACTAAAAAGTTCAATATGTATGAATTATAAATTTCCATACTTTCAGTGATTGAAACAAGAAGAATAATATTTCTTTCTGCGTGTTTCGTTATTTCCCCACGTCTTCTGAATATATATATATTGCTTTAGCAAAGTAAATAGATGCTTAATAATAATAATGGCATCAATGAATTATTAACTTTCAATTTTCAACTAATAATAACATGCTGTAATCAGTTCCAGTTTATAAGCTGATTAGTTTGATAAATTCATAGATATCTATTAAAGACAATCTTGTAAGTGATGATTTCCATGCTTTGACTACTATAATATTATGTATAGATTAAATAGTGTAATTTATTACTTTGAAACAACGTTTTATATGTAAATAATCGTTGATATTGGTATATAGTAAGCATTCATGAACTTACATATCGGAGTTAAACCCATGACTTTAGATCTCACTCACGACTAATTAACCTTTAGACCACTTAGTCGAGATCTGATGGTGTCTAAGTTCAACTTTCATTATAATAAAAAATTTTACATCTAGGTTAAGATAGGATAAAATTTGATCCTCTTGAGTGTATTTAAATAAAATTCATGATTATCAACTGAAAGTCTGTTTATTTTGAATATTGGTAACATATGAGACTAAAATTTACTGAGGTATCACTGGAAAGCATACAACGGTGAATAGTTTTTAGTTGGCATTTTCAAACTTATTATTAGCATGAAATTTCAAGCCCGAAATCTTGAGGTCACGCAAAGTACATGATAAGACTTAGGCATTAGTCACAGTTTATCGGCTTATATTTTCTTCTTAGTAGACGAAGTAAATTCTCATTAGAGAGCACTAGATGCTAAATAATGGTCACACTAGATTTTTCAGTCAATCGAATTTGGAAAATTTTTACATGTTGGCTTTCAGACAAATGCCATCTTAATTGCATTGTCTATATACTCTGAGTTTAACTGAGCATAAAATGCTTGTTAGTTCAAGCTTCTTACAAGTTCTAGATTAAAATCGTGCAAATCTCTTTAAATTTATCATTCCTAAAGATTGAGTATTCTTTCTTACGTTTATTTTTTCTGTCTACTAATTTTATTTCTCGTTTACTCGAAACTTCTTGATTATCCTATCAGTTTATTCTGTGCGACTTAATATGATGTACTGATACTACTATGAACTGATGTAAGTGAGACAATTATTAAAATTCCGGAAGCACTGGACAGACTTCTCATTCTATTATAGGAATTCCCAGCAGTAAGCATCCACGAACTTATGTGAAGGAGTTAAACCCTTGACTCTCGGTTTCTCTCGTGACTAACTAACCTCCAGACCACTCAGTCGAAATCTGATGGTATACAACTCCAACTTAAATCAGCACACGCTATTGTACAATCACGTTCAATTTTCTTCTGTCGACATATTCTTAATCATTGATATGTTTCAGCTCCACTTATCACAGCTTCTGTCTGTTTGTTTGCAATATATTGATCAACAATTCAATGAACCCAACATGTAATACTTACACGTGAAGATACTCAATTCATCATGGCTTCCCAAGCCGAATATGGTAAATTTTACGTAATAGATGATTCAGACTAAATATTTGTAGTATTTAAGGCATAGAAATAGCGTAGTAACGACAACGCATAATTCACCCAAAAATATGTACCTTAATATATAGAAAGATCTGTATACATACTGAATAAAATGAATTTCTGTTGAGAACAGTGTAAATGCTCATTGATTTTGAAACATTTAATTAAAGTTTAAATTAAAAATCAGAAAGGTAATCTTGAACACCACTGGTTTATGCTAAATGAAAATACAGAGTATTCTAGAATTAATTGCCATCACTAAATAAATTACAATGAATCAAGTTACCCGTAGTTTCAGAGAACAATTTTTATTTACTATCTTCTGTTGTCATCCTGAACGTCTTTCCTAGTGGTTTTACAAGACTCTTAGCTTTTGTCAATAAATCTCAAAACTCTTCTATGTAAAAACTCCTCAACTCTCAAAGCAAAGTTTATGATTTATGATTTTGTAATAAATTACTTTTTTTACGAGGTCGGGTTACCAAACCTATATACTGAATCAGAACAAGCAATTGTTTAAGATAGAGTCCAAGCGAAGTTGACTCTCTCAAATACTATTATATATCTGACAAATTATATTTTTATTCTCGGTCTTACAATATTTTCAAGAAACTCTTTAGTTAATATCTAGATTTTTCGAATATATAATATTTGATTACTTAAAGCATTGCATGATATGGTTCGAGTGCTTCTTTAAGGAATATTTCAAACTATTGTATAATTGACATTGTCATAGTGCTATTGTTAAGTAATTTTACTTAATTAACAAATTACAATTCATTACTTAATTCTATGTAAGAAATGAATGTCGATTTCTTTGTTTGGATTATTACCGAACTGTACTTTTTATAAAAAGTCGTAAAAGAAAGTATAAATAAAATATTAATAATGTTAAATTTAATCCATTTTATCTTAACTCATAGTGTAAATCTGAAGTAATAATAATAATATTAATAGGTTCATATGGCTAAGATTTTAATAAACTAATACAGCACATCTGATTCATATGATCTTCAAATACTTCAATGTGATTGGTTCATAATATTGTCCAATTAGAATGCAACAAAATATGATTTATAACATAGTCAACCTGTTATTGGTTGATATTGGCTTATATTGTTGAATAATGAATATTTCAGTACATTGAGAAAATTTTGAGTCTTTAAAACGACAACTGGCGTTATATTACGTTCATAAAGATAACAATTCATATTTTAATAACAGAAATATTAACTTTATACGGATTATATTATTTTTTTTCAAAACAAAAGGAAACGTTTGATTTAAATTATGCGAATACGTCATCCAAGATTCGATAGTCCAATTCAATCACCATCAACAACTAATGAAATGAGGAAACATTTGTTAAATTCATCACAGGGATCTTCTATTAAAATGTCTGATTCACAACAATGTAAATCAAGACAAAGTTCACCTCGTTTATCTTCAACCGATGGTCATGTATCATCTATTTCCGGTATGTCAGAATCATGTGATGATCCAACTAATACATATCTTAATCCGGATTTCACTGATCCACAATTAATGACAAAAGTAAGTTTGATAACTTTTAGTATGTTTAATATATTTTAGAATTAGTCATTATAACACAATTTAGTTTAAATGTTAGTCATAATCATACGACATTTGGGAATCAAAATAATCGATTTTTGTTTAACTTATGAAATTTAGTACAGCTAGACACTAAAAATATTATATGCTACATAAAAATTTGTGTGGGCCATGACACTAATCAGGAGTTTAGACGAAGTAAGTTGTTTGCTTAGAGACCAACTGCTAGAGCCCGTAACATGGAAATCGATTCTGCAACTCAGTAGAGTTGTCCTTTACTGGTACCTGATTAATAAATGTTGGTACGTACACCATTCGTTCCCACATGTTTTTGGATTCGGCGAATACCACTGTTCTCGAATCAGAGTCTGTCAGTTCCCCTTGAGGATCTTTCTATATCGATTATTCGGGTTTCAGCTCCAGACCTTCGTTTCTTATCTTCCCTCACAATAGATGAAATTTTATGGATGATAAAGATGATTCTTACAACGTTCATGAAAATGTTACTTCAGATAAAATTCATCTTACCTACTTTACTGCTGATATTGTACACTAACAGCATTATGGAATTTTCACACACACACACATACACACATCATTAACGCTATATGAATTATTTTCTATTGATGTTAACAAATACTTTTATTTGTTATCTACTATTTAGAACAATGTGAAACTGATACATTTATCACTATATATTTACTGGTTTTATAGTAAAAAGTAACTTTATTGACAGAATATAGCAGTTGTAAAACACAAATTATGACTTTATCTATTATTTACATTAGTAATCACTGAAAATATTTATCAACCGATCTGGTATCGGTTTGTAAATAAGTAAGATGATCCCATCATGTGATGAACTTTTCAAATGATATTCATTTCTTAAATTAGTAGATCCTCAAAAAGTGCTTAACATATTCATTGTCAATCAAAGTGTATGTTTAGTTTATGAATAACAGTCTGAATAAACAAATTTATCATAATCATTCAGTTTCTTTGAGGATCCAATAATCGCATTTTACTTGTATAAAACCTCATATTTCTAATTATACATCATTCTTACAAAAATAGAGAAAGATAACTTTTGCTTTTTAAATTTGACGTTTTAAATATGTTTTACTTAACATATAGTATTCACTTCAATTCAAGACTACACATTTCAGAATGTTTTAAATTGCTGTAATATGTCATATTCCTGCTTCCAGTTGTTTTATCTAACGTTGGTTGTTAGCCATTTACTTAAAAGTTTTTAATTGGCACGCCCACAGAAGGTATGAGCTAGTTTGTATGAAATAAGATCGGTGGAAACGGGTATGTAGACTTTATCCCGATACACCACTGTGACACAAATCACTCTATTTATTGGATTCATTATAATATTTAACAAACAAATTCTTAGATATTCTTCTATAAGGATCTTTACTATCCATAAATAGATAATAGTCATGTCATTTGTACAACAAAAAACAATTCGATCAATAAATATGGATTGTGTTGAAAAACAATGAATCAGATATCATGAATTAAGAAACTAAAAAATCGAAGGACTCCAGATGTATGTCTATTCTATCATCAAGTCTGAAATTTGGTTTCTAGATTATAGTATAGTACTATTCTATTGAAATCTTATCAGTCAGCTGAGTTCTAACACTTAAATTTTCGGTAAAACTTTGAATAATCTGTTTCTAAGCATATCACTAGTCTTTATATCATTATTATTGTATATATAGTAGTTGCTAGTCTATTGGTCTAGCGGTTAAGCGTTCAGGCAAGAGACTGAAGGTCCTGCGTTCGATCGTCGCGTGAGGGGTTATGAATATGCACTTCTGAAGAGTCACATACTAGAACAAAACGGACATTTAATGCTTCCAGATTTCCGATGGTTCTTAACTTTGATTCATGACCTCAGTAAAATTCAGCAAACCTACACCGACATATATTTAAATAATTTAGCATAGAATTCGAAGTTCATTTTTTAATACCATCTAATATCAATTGATCATAGATCCCAAGCTAATAATTTTTCATTATAACAATCATTTACAAATGATCGTCAGAAGCTCGTCTACTTAGAGTCATGATGAGTAATACTGCTGTTTTTAGGGTTTGAGAAGTTGGGAAAAATTCACGAAATGAGTTTATATTATTCTACTTTCATTTTTCTAAGTTTATTCAGTCTTTAGTGTAGTACAGTTAAGTAGGTTGGTGTCACGATGATTCGAGATATAAAGTCTGATGATATAAATATATAAAATCATCTTCACACCACAGAAAAACCATAGTTTGCATAAAACACCGATCCCATTTAACTCAGTTACCCATTACATGTACATGAATTTGACTTTATATAGCATTTTGTATGTATATGTTAGGATTGCTAAAGGCCTATTCGAACTAAAGATAGGAAGTATTTTAAACGTAATCACTGAAACCCAAATGTTTTCATGTTACCAAGTCACTACATTAACTGAATTGATACATATTGATTAAGGCAAAGTTAGCATAACAACATGCCAATTTACTTTGCCATACTTATACCATGGAAACTTGAAAGATAAGTTCAAATATATTATTATTATTATCATTAGCATTATTAATCTGTCTGAGCACATAAGAATCTGATGCAATACAGCACCAAAAAATAGAATGTGACACACAAAGTATTGATAATATTGTTAAGAAGACAGGCTTAATTTGAAGAGAATGAAGAAAAACTAATATAAAAAAATACTACAACTAAAACAGTGTATAATAAAAGAGACGGTTCAGTGAACAATACCAAAGAGATATTCAAAGATTCTTTTAGTGACCGCCGAATGTAAACCATCTTTCGGAGATAAGCATAATGGAACAGATAGAATCGTCCTAATTCCCTAAGAGAGGTTAATTTTCACAAGCATAGAAAAAAAGCTCATTGACGCCTTGCAAATCCGAATTTTTAAACAGCCAGATTAATATGACGTCTGTCCCAAAGGTCCCCATATTCTCATGTTCTCTTTGGGTTTCACTATACATAGATTCGTCCCATCTGTTAAGGTACTGTCAGCAGCCACATTACTACACAGATATAAGAAACTTTTGACTATTTCTAACGGCTCATTGACAACAGTAAGTGCAAATGCTCTTGCCAGTCTTGGAAAAGTACTTTGTAATGAGTGCATGTCACTTATACGAACACTGACCAACTGTTTAAATGTTGACTGCACAGCTCATTGCCTAGTAGGCCGGAATTATCTGGACACTTAATACTCTAAAGTTTCTCTACAGTACACAGATGCGGATAATTGCCATTTACTCCATATCTGTATCCAGAATACTCTCGATAGTAAATTTAAAGAGGAATCGTGAGATTAGGAAACCCTATTTAACCCCACTAATAATATGACACAATAGAGAAGCTGTTGTATTTCCTTGCCCTCATTGACGTATTTGTATTTGAAGTTTTAAATTGTTAACAAACTTCTCAGACAAACAATTCTTTAACAGACAATCCCATAGAATTCTATTATCTGACGAATTATAGGCCACTCTGATATCAAGTAATATAACGACTCCTGGTCTGTAATAATTATGGCAGTATCCTGACATTCGACAGAGGATGAAGATATGTTCAGTATATCCTCGATTAGAACGAAAATCAACTCACTCCTCACAAGTCAATATTTCACAAATTCTGAACAGCACGTTGAAAATAACTAGATCACATACACCACATATCAAACTTCTATTCCCATCAGTAATCATAGTTTAATTAGTTTTCAATTTTAATTTATTTTAATTCATTGTTTTTTGTGTACTCATTTGTTTAAGAAGAAATAAATAGAAAAAGTGATTGTTTTATTCATTTCTAGAGTTAATACTTTCAGAAAAGTGTTTTTGTGGATATTATAGTAATTTCAATGGTTGAGATCATGAGTCATTTGAAACTAGACCACCATTGAAAAACCTAGAAGCACTGGACGACCGTTTCGTCCTAGTATGGGACTCTTCAGCAATCCGCATCCATGATCCCGATTCCAACACAGAACCTATCAGTCTCGTGCACGAGTGTTTAACATCTAGACCATCGAGCTCGCCGGCATTCGGTGGTGACAATGTATGATTTCAACTAGTCCACCAAATTGAGCGACATATCTAAGCAGTAGAATAGATGTTCTTTTAAAAAAATCTTAACTATTCAATTATCAGTAATAAATTAAAGATTAGCTGAGATAGATGAGAAAATCTATAACACAGGGAAATGTTAAAAAGAATGAGATCTTTGTGTCAAATAGAAAAATATACGTTCAGTTCTATGGCAAAACATTAATTGTAATAGTAAACTAATCAAAGAAACGAAATATCTAATTCACATACACCTTAAATTTAAGATAAAAATATGCTGTGGTGTAATTAGATGGTCGTTTCGTCCTAGTATGGGACTTCTCAACAGTGTGCGTCCACGATCCTACACGTGAAACTTGAAGATTAAAGATTCACGCATGAGACTGAAGGTCTTACATTCGAATGCCATGTGTGGGGTCATGAATTCAACTAATTCAACTATTATTACAATTTCCACAAACCCCATTCTGATCATATCTGATTTATGCTTAAATTCATATTCATACATGTATCTTTTGCATTCTAATTATTAACTATATTAAGACAGATATTATATAAAATGTGGTTGAATCCAATGTACACATTTATGATCGATTATAGTCTTTTCGATTGAATTGTATATATTTGATAATAAATCATTATCAAGTATATAAATCTTTGATAATATTCACATTAATGATAATTAAAAATAGTAGTTTGTGTAATGAACAATAAAGACTGTGTGTTTTTTTGTACGTGTGTGTGTGTGTGTGTGTGTTTCCTAACACAACCCACCATTGATAATAACTGTAAACACTGAGATTACCAATATTTATTATTGTATACCGATATTATTTACCCATTAGTAGTTTAGATTACAAATAAATACATGAATT